TCAAACGCGCGATGGCGCGTGGACCGACGTTTGATGATTTCGTGCGCGGTGACGCGACGTACGCCGTGCCCGCGCCGAGGTCGTTGCGGGATAAGACGACGCGGAAGCCGACGTGGCTCAAGCGCGAGGTCCCGGGCGGGGCGCGGTACACGGAGATCAAGGCGAAACTGCGGGAGCTGAAGCTCGCGACGGTGTGCGAGGAGGCGAAGTGCCCGAATTTGGGCGAGTGCTGGGGCGGTGGTGAGGGACGGACGGCGACGGCGACGATCATGATCATGGGGGACACGTGCACGCGCGGGTGCCGGTTTTGCGCGGTGAAGACGTCGAGGGCGCCGCCGCCGTTGGATAAGGATGAGCCGGCGAACGTGAGCAAGGCGATCGCGGCGTGGGGGTTGGATTACGTCGTGCTCACGAGCGTCGACCGGGACGACATCGAGGACCAAGGGGCTGGGCACTTTAGGGAGACGGTGCAAAGGCTCAAGGGGCAGTCCGACGTCTTGGTCGAGGCGCTGACTCCGGATTTCCGAGGCGAGAAGCACCTGGTCGAGCTCGTTGCGTCTTCTGGTTTGGACGTGTACGCGCACAACGTCGAGACGGTTCCGGAACTTCAGGCGGACGTGCGCGACCGCCGGGCGAACTGGGATCAATCCATCGAAGTGCTGAAGCACGCGAAAAAATCAGGCGCGAAGATCACGAAGACGTCCATCATGCTCGGTCTCGGTGAGACGCACGACCAAGTCATCAACGCTCTCAAGTTGCTCCGCGAGGCTGACGTGGACGTCGTGACTTTTGGACAGTACATGCGACCGACGAAGAAGCACCTTGCCGTGGTCGAGTACATCACTCCCGAGGCGTTCAAGCGCTACCAAGAAATCGCGGAGGGCATGGGTTTCTTGTACGTCGCGTCCGGAGCCATGGTTCGCTCTTCTTACAAGGCGGGTGAATTTTTCCTCGCGAACGTCATCAAGGAGCGCAAGGCAAAGGAGGGCGCTACCGCTTCGGCGTCGTGATTGACAGCTTAGTATATTCTTTGGCGCGCGATGTGACAGATGAGTTCGCTGGTGTCGTCAATGTAGTACGTCTCACGAATCTTGATCGTCAGGAGTAGAATCTTAAACGTGTATTCCATAACCCAAGAGCTCCACTCTTTCTCCGTACCTCGACCTTTATACGTCGGCCCAGTTGTCGTCATCTTTGTGTACTTGCTCAGCGTACCACTGTCGCCGCGAGCGCTCGACATGCGTAGACGCTGAGACATTCGTTTGACTGAATCACACAGGCTCACCATCACCTCGTCCTTGCCCTGAAAGAAATCTCCGTGAATATTCATGTAATCCACGTCGCGGCTAAACAAGGATGCAATCTCTTCGCGGAGCGCCCAGTTGAAATCTTGCGAGACGATCGCGTCGCCGAAAGCCTTGGAGACGATTTTGGGAGCCTCTGGGATTTCTCGCGCGGTCATGCGGTTCGAGGCGTCGAAGGGCTTCGGTAAAACGACCGGTAAATTTTTGAGTTGCTGAAACGTCCGCTCTGTCTCGTCGTCCACCTTTCCCGCGTCGACGATTTTCTTCGTCGCATCTCGCACGGCTCTGCTCTGCGACCGAAGCGCCTCGAACACGCCAGGATATAACTCCTCCGACTTCTTGCGCGACAATTTACGCTTCACCTCCCGCGCCGGCTTCGCGTCGATATCGAGCGGGTCGAACTTGGCGGCGACGCGCGCCGCGTCCGCCTCGAGCGCCGACTTCATCTCTTCCCCCGAGTCCTCCACCGCGCTCACGGTGCGCGAGACCACGCGTCCACGCTCCATCGTCTCCCCACCCCGTCCCATCGCCCGCGCGCGCGCGCCATCGCCCGCGACGTCCTCCTCGACCACCCGTCTCGCGCTCGCGCACTGCCCCATGTCGTCGATCCGTATCCACCGACCCCTTTCCGCGCGCCCGAACCCGTCGAACCGCGCGTCGACGCGCGCGCGCGCGCGACCGTCGCGCCCGTTCGTTCGCGCGCCCGCGACGCCGCTCTCGCGCGCGCCCGTCGCGCACTCGCGCCTCGGGAACCTCGGGAAGACGAAACGTCGCGTCATCGCACAAAAAAAAACGCGTAAACCGCAACACCCTCGACGCGTCGAGCGCGCATCGCGCGACGCGCGTCCACACGCGCGCGCGCGACGACCCGCGCGCGCCGAGCGACGGGCGAGACCGCGCGCATGCGCATCGAGCTCGCGGCCGAGGCCTACGTCGCCGTCGCCGCGCTCGTCGACCGCGAACTCGACCGCGCGACACGCGTGTCGCGGTGTGGGCCGCGGACGCGTCGAGCGATGGACGAGACGTCGTCGAGCGCGAAGGCGACGCGCGACGCCAAGGTGCGCGCGTTGTTCACCGCCCTGCTCACGGCGCGATCGGTGCGAGAGGACGCGACCGCGGTGGAGGTGACCGAGGGCGTGTACGTCGGGAGCGTGGGCGCGGCGCGAAACGCGCGGGAGCTGCGACGAATGGGGGTCACGCACGTCCTGGCGGTGTGCGACGGCGCGCCGGCGTTTAGCGATGACGAGGGGAATGGGTTTATCAGGGCGACGCGCGCGGTGAAGGACTCGCCGGAGGCGCCGATAGAGGAGACGTTTGATTTCTGTTACGATTTCATTAGAGACGCTCGCGCGAGCGGCGGACGCGTCTTGGTGCACTGCTTCCAGGGTAAGAGCCGAAGCGCGACCATCTGCGCGATGTACATGATGCGGTCGCTCGGGATGTCCTACGACGAGGCGTTGGAGAAGATTCGCGCGGTGCGTCCGTGCGCGCGGCCGAATTCGGGATTCGAGAAGCGACTCAGAGCGCTCGAAAAAGCGCTCGCGGAGCGCGCGCGAGACGGCTCGCCGAGTAAGCGGCGTCGCCGTAGTCCCGAGATCGCGTAGCGAACCGGCGGCGGGCCGTATGTACATAAACATTCATTCAGCACCACTCATCGTCGTCAAAGCGAGCATCCGTACGATTCGTCGACGCGTTCGCGTCCGCGTCCCGCCGTCCGCTTCGCCGCGCATCAAACGCGCGCGCTTAGATCACCCACACTTCGCCCCTCGGGCGCGTCAACGCCCGAACGAACGCGCGATGCCGAACATGCGCACCCCGGATCCACCACCGAACGGTCCCGTGTCCCCGTTCGTCGACGCGTCGCCCGAGTTTGAGCGAAGAAACGAATCACAAGATTATTTCGAAGACGATGACATTCGAGACGCGATCGTCGGTAACTCGCCCGCGCGCGACGTCTTTCGCTCGCCGGTGAAGCGATGGAGCGATGTGCCGTCACCCTCGAGATCGGACGTCGAGATCGAGCGCATGCGGTCGGAGGTGAGCGCGAACAGGGCGTACGTCGCGGAGCTCGAGCGAAGAGTCCAGAGCGCCGAGCGCGAGCGGGACGACGCGAGGGAGGCGGCGTCGGCGCGAGAGCGAGCGATGAACGAAAGAGCGAAGAAGACGCAGGAGCAGAACGTGAAGAGAGAGCGGGAGTTCGCTGCGAGGGAGTTGGATCTGGAGGCGAGGGAGCGAGAGGTCGCGCGGGCGGAGGCGGAGCGGGCGAGCGCAAAGCGAAGAGAGACGGCGGTGAGCGATCGAGAGGAGCGGCTTCGGATGGACATGGACGAATTGGACGCTCGAGACGAGCGGTTAACGGAGGGAATACTCGAACTCGAGCGCGAGGGGGAAGCGTTGAGGAGGGAGGCGGCGGCTCTCGAGCGACGTAGGGCAGATATCGCGAACGAGCTCACGGATCGAGAGGTAGACGTTATCAAGCGAGAGGAGAGCGTGGCCGTGCGCGAGCGCGAGATGAGAGTGGTTGAGGGACACTTGAACACTCTGAAGGAACGCGCGGTGGATGAGGAGGCTCGATTGACGCGCGCGATCGAGCGAGCGGACGCGGCAGAATCTCGAGAGGCGGACGTCGCTCGGCGCATTCGTGAACTCGACGGCGACGAGCAGCGCGCTCGAGTGAGCATCAGGGAAGCGCAGAGTGATTTAGCGCGGTGCGTTGACGCAAAGACACACACGTTGCGAGAGACGGAGTCGTTGAAGAGGGATGTAGATGCTGCTCGAAACGCTGTGGAGACACTCGAAGCGGAAAAGGCTCGACTTTTCCGGATCATCGCCGACATGCGGACGGAACTAGACGATCGAGAGCGCCAGACCGTAGACGCGGCGGAGTTCGCGGCGAATGAGTGTGAGTCTATTGCGGCGGCGTGGGATGAGGTGGAGATCACGCGTCAAGCTTTGGAGCGTCAAGAGAAAATGATCGAGGAGACTGCGGCGCGGCTTGAGCACAACGTTCAGGCCTACGAGCGCGACTCGACGGCCTTTCGCGAGCGCGAGGAGCTGTATGAACGCAAGGTTCGTGATCTCGTTGAACAGGAAGACTTTTTGCGTAAAATTGCGAGAGAAAACGAGGACCGCTCCCGAGACTTGGCGGCTAGGGATACGGCGCTCGCCGAACGACTTCGTCGCCTGGAATCTGGCGAGGCGGAAATCACTGAGTGGAGGCCGAAGATTGCGGCTTATATGGCGAAGGAGACCTTCATACGGGAAAACATCGAGGCGATTGAAACTGCACAGACGCAGCTCGCCGATCTGAGCGCGCGCGAGCGTGATATCGAGGCCAAGGAGGCGCAGCTCGAGGCGCGAGAGGAAGCCGTGGCGCAACAACTCAGCGCTGTGGCGGAAGCCGAAGTTATACTGAGCGAAGAAAAAGCAAAGTTGGAGCTCAAAATGCTAGAGGTGGCACCGAAAATGACCGCCGTCGAGCTCGAGCGTGAGGTGACGACATTGAGAGCTGAGTTGGAGCGCACGAAGGCAGCGGCGAACGCCGCAATGGCGAATGCGGACATGGAGCGACGACGACGGGAAGAGATGGCCGGCTCGAGCGGCGAAGACGCGCACGCCAGCGAGACGAAACGAAGTCGTGAGGCGATAGAAAACGAAACCGCGGAGTTGCGTCGTGCAAACGAACTCCTGGACCTGCGCGAGTCCGAGCTCATGTCGCGCGAGAACGCTCTGGCTGACGAGTTTGATCGACTTGAGCGAGAGATGGTTCGCTTCGAAGACCTTCGTCGATGTGTGGATGACCGAGCTCGGCAAATGCAGTTTAGCGGTGGCATGAGTTCTGTGGACGAAGACGTCGACGACTTCATGACGAGCGAGCGTGCGGCAGTGATGGAGATTCGTGCAGAGGCGGAACAGTTGCGTCGAACGGCGCGCGAGCACCTTGAAGCGGCGATGGAAGCCTCTCGAGCCGCGCACACGATCAACGACGCGTGCGCCGCGAGTGAAAAGGAGGGCATGGCGATTGTTCGCAGGGTCTCCAACATCGTCGCCTCCGCCCTGAGCGTCGCTCGCGCGAAGGGCGACGAGCTGCGCAAGGCGGCGTCTCAAGGCGTCGATCGTAAGATGGACATGCTAGACGCCCAGCTCGAGTACGTCGCCAAAGCGAAGGCCGATTTGGACAGACGAGATGCATCGCTCCGCGCTTCCTCGTTCGAGGCGAACTCGAGGCGTCGCGCGGAGACCGTGGAGAACGCTCAAGAGTTGTCCTCGCGCGCGCGAGCGTCGCAACTTCGTAAAGACGTGGACGTCGCGAGCGCGAAGCTGCGTGAGAGTCTGGCTCAAGGCGTGAGCGCGCTCGAGCGCGCCGCTGGGGTGTGTGCACCGGGCGCTCACCTCGCCTTGCGCGCGTCTCTCGATTCGCTCCGCGCGCGCAGCGACCACCTCTCGCGTCCGCCCGTCGAAGACGACGCAGCCGCCCTCTCCAGCACCCTCGACGCCCTCGAGCGCGAGATCCGAAGAGCGTCCACGTGGTTCGAGGAGCTCCGCGTCGCCGTTCGCGCGCGATAGCGGTGTATTCGCGATGTATGTATTCGTTAGGCTAACCGACGCCGAGAGCCATCGCACGCGTCGCACGCCTTCAAACACCGCACTCGTCGTCGCTCCCGCCCGCGGCGTCCGTCGAACGATGACGGACACGGCGAAGAGCTCGATAGCGGTCCTCGAATCCATCGCGCGGAGAGACGCGGCGCGTAAGGAGCACGAAAGAGCGAGAAAGGATGAAAGATTACACTCGAGCGAAGATCCCTCGACCGCGCTCGTCGCGTTCAACGATGCGTGCGCCGAGATCGAGCGCGATATTCAACGCGTTTTGAGCGACGATGAGGCGTCGAGGAAATCGAACGTGCGCGAGGAGACGCGGAGAGAGAGTGGATTGGCGGCGCTCGGCGCGGTCAACGCGCGAGCGACGGCGCTCGACGCGACGACCGGAGAGTTCGGTCGACGGGCGAGCGCGTACGACGTGCGGGTCATGCGACAGCGCATGTGTGATGTCAGGGCCGCGTTGGTCAGGGCGCGAGGGGTGATCGCGCCGCGTGAGCCGTTTCGGTTCAAGTCGAGAGCGAGCGGGACGCGGCGGGCGAGAAAAGACGGGACGTCGAAGGATGAAGCCGCCGCGGTCGAGGATACAGACGCAAACGATGACTCTCCGGGGACGAGAGATAGGAAAAATGAGGTCGTGGTCGTGCGCGAGGTGCCGGAAGGGGAGGATTATGTGTTGGAGCGCTTGGCGGATTGCGACGTCTTCGTACTCGGCGCCGTTCGAGCGCTTCGAGCGCACGATTTGAAGCGATGTCGCGTCTTCATCGTCGCCGTCGCCGGGAGCGCGCACTTAGAGAATGTTGCAGATTGCGTGTTCTGTCTCGCGACGCGACAGCTCCGCGCGCACGCGGTGCGACGGACGCGTTTTCACGTCCGCGCCGCGTCGAGACCCATCATCGAGGACTCGCGAGAGGTCGCATTCGCGCCTCTGATGCGTGGGTTCGCGACACAGGCGAACTTCGACGTCATTCGACGCGACGCAGGTCTTCCGGTCGAGGAGAACGGGATGTGGCGCGAGGTGGATGATTTTCTCTGGCTCAAGGCGAGCGCGTCGCCGCACTGGAGCGCTCTGGACGACGACAACGACGAAACAAGAAACGTCGACGAGGCGACTCTGCGCGAGGCATTCGAGCGCTTAGATCTATGATATTACTGTCGCTGTGCCTGTGTGTGTAATACAAGTATTGTTCGCTAGGTAACCGTCCAGAACTGCCCGAACGCCCATCGTCAGTGCTCGTCGCCGTCGGCGACAAACGCGAACTCATTCTCTGCCGCGCGAGCGCCCGCTCCGATTCCCCTTCGCATCTACACCGAATATATCCTCGCTCAGAATCATCCGAGTGTTGTCGAACGCTCCTCTGGTGGACCCATCGAGTCCCCTGCCGTGCTCGCGTCCGCCATCCTTGTCAGCGTCCGAGCGCCGTCTCGCACTCGCCTTGTGACTCCCCGTCTGCTCGCCCGGATCCATAAAAAACTCGTCCTCGCACGCGATCGTGGTCGATATCGCGCGCGCGAACGACACGCTCTTCACAGGTCGCGCACGTCCACCGTCGTCTCTCGCGCTTCCGCTCCGCGCGAGCGCCATCGCCGGTCCGCGCGCGCTCTCCCCGCCCTCTCTTCTCGCGCTGTCCGATCGCGTGAGCGTCGCGCGCGTCGTCGGCATCGTCCCCGACGTCGACGTCGCGGCGTCTCCGCGCGCGAGCGCGTCGTCGACCTCGACCACGCTCGAGACGCTCGCGCACGCACACAGCCGCATGTCGTCACGAAATCGACGCGCGCGGCGTCGCTATCGACGCGCTCGCCGCGAGATCGCGGGGTTACAAATACACGAAATTTCTCCGCGCGACGACCAGGTCGGGGGTCGTCCGAGGGCGTCGCGCGACGCGCCGTGCGGGCGAGCGTTCTCGGTGAAGCGCTGTCGGCGTTCGCGGCGCCGCACGGCTGGCGCCCCGCACACGCCCGCGCGCGCGTGCGAAGCGGTGCGCATGCGGGCGAAGCGGCGGAAAGAAACGCGGGACGATTCGGGCGAATCAGACGCGCCGTCGTGCGTCGTGCACGACGCCCGGAACGATTCGAATGAAGAAACCGTCGGCGGGGATTGGGTCGAGCTCATCGAACACGGCGACGGCGCGGGACTCCTCGAGTGGCTCGTCGCCCCAGCGGACGTGGAGTGCGTGCGGAGCGCGTCGACGGTGACGTGCGTCCGACGAGGCGGGGCGGAGAGGACGACGGAGCGTAGAAAATGGTTTTCCATGGCTGACGTGGAGGCTACGTTGGCGTCGAGAGACGCGCGATACGGGATCGACGCGGACGTGACGTCGTACGTGGACGGGGTGCGAAGGACGCATAATTCGAACGATGATACTCATGATGTGTGTGATGAGGCGTCGAACGAGATCGTGGACGCGAAGGCGGTGATGCGCGCGTATCGCGAGCGCGGACGCTCGATTCGGTTGTTACATCCGCAAACGCGGCACGACGCGACGTGGAAGATGTTGGCCACGCTGGAGAGTCACTTCGAGTGCGCGTGCGGGTGTAATGTGTACGTGACACCGGCAAATGCACAAGGGTTCGCGCCGCACTACGACGACATCGACGCGTACGTGCTTCAAATCGAGGGAGAGAAGCGCTGGCGCGTGTACGCGCCTTTTCAGAGCGACGAGCTCCCTCGAACGAGCTCTAAGAACTACACTCAGGAAGAGATCGCGGGACTGGAGGTGTTGTTCGACGGTGTTTTAGAGGCTGGAGATTTCTTATACATACCGCGAGGGTTTGTTCACCAGGCGGAGTGCTCGTCCAGGGCGCACAGCGTACACGCAACGATTTCAACAAATCAAGCAAACACGCACGCAGACGCGTTCGAGATCGCGACGCAGACCATCGCGCGCTCGCTCATCGACGAGAGTAAATGGCTTCGACGGAACATATATAGACCGCACCAGGGCCCGCGGCGGTGCTTGGACATGCAGCAGATGGGTCAAGCGGTGCTCGCGCTGGGCTCGCGGGATTTGGACCCGTACCTGTTCCACGCGTACGAATCTCTCCGAGCCAGGTTTCAGGCGCAGCGTCTTCCGGTGCCCGAGACGCATCTAGAGCGCTCGCGCACGTCGTGCACCGGCGACCGGGCGGCGGAAAGTTTTCGAGGAGGCGAATTGACGAAGGTAGCGCTGCAGAGACGAGGATGTTTGGTCCTCGTCGACGGCGCCGCGTATCATCCTTTTAGTAACTCTCGAGACGGGAGCCACGAGCGTATTTTTAGCGTCAGCGGAGACGAACGAGGACGTGTGCCCGTCGACGACGACGTCATCGACATCTTAGACGAGTGTCTCTACGTTTTGCAAGAGCTCGACGGCGAGGCGACTGACGCCGCGGCGCTGGCGTCGACGCACGTCGCAAAACTGGAAAATGGTCACGCCGGCATCGTGGATAGATTGATACACGCGTTCGCGGAATTAATCAGAGTCGGCGCGCTCGCGGCGTGTTAGTCAAAGCTTGCTACAGGAAATGCCTCACCAAAATGATTTAATTCTCGACGGGAACTTCATGGGCTACAAAAAGGAACGCCGGCAAAGTCTTCGTAGTGTAGATGGTTATCACGCTAGGCTTTCACCCTAGAGACTCGGGTTCGAATCCCGGCGAGGAAAGACAAACTTTTTTGACCTTGCGAAGGCTTTTAATTTTTAATCAAAGAGCTTGCATTGAATTCAGTTCTTCACCGATTACCCGTTACAAAAGTTATTACTCGTATCACATTTCGCGGGTGGACGCGAGGCATTTCCTGTAGCAAGTGTCGCACACGCGCCCGTCACCATCTCTTTGGGGATGACTCGCCTTCCCTCGAGAAACCGCACGCGAGCATAGCACGCACGTGAACGGTGGTTGTTTTGCGAGTAAAGTGATTTTGTAGCATCTTGCGCACACGCGTCCATCGCCGTCTCCGCGGTAACTTCGTTTCCCTTGCATCTCTCTGTCGCACTCAAGGCACTGAAACTGCGGCTTCTTTGCATACAAAGCTTTGTTGTAGCAAGTGTCGCACACGCGTCCATGGCCGTCTCCGTGGGAGTGACTTCGCGACTTTCCTTGCGGAAAATCTCTGTCGCACCGTCCGCACGTGAATGCCGGCAAAGTCTTCGTACATCGCGTCTTCTTTCCGAATGTCTCTCTGATCTCGTTCCACGTATCCTCGCGGGTGACCTCCCTGGTATGGCACACACCGGGCTGAGAAAAGTTCATTCCGACGACGCCGTCCGCGGTGTGCTCGTGCAAGGTCCCGTAGTGCGCGGTGAATACCGCTTCGACGAAGAATCCGGCGCTCGCAATCGCGCGCGCGACTTCCAAAATCGACGGCGTCGACGCGCACGTTTTCACGTACGTCTTCGCCAACTCGACCGCGCTCGCTTCATCCTGTCCGTGAATGACCCACAAACTGCATTGAAAATCAGCATCAGCATGGTCGTCGTCGCCCTTTTGGGCTCGTCGAACGAGTGCGTGTCCTCGCTGCATGTCGTGCGCGCGCCCGTCGCCGAGCAGCGCCGTCAAGTGCTCGTTGATTCGTCGCTCTACATCGACACTTTCCCCGACGTACGCGAACACGAGTCCGTCGTCGGTGCGAATTCTGTAGTGATAGCACCCGCGTACGTTCAGATATCGCGCCATCGATCCCGTGGCCGTCTCGACCTTTTCCAAAGCCTGACTCAACTCGAATTCGCTCGCGTCCAGCGCCATCGCCGCGGCGCGAACCGCGTTAAGATTTTGACACGCATACTTTGACTCCGCCGCGTTGAGCGGGGAGGACCACTGTGCGTTTGTTGAACTGGTGGTACGTCGAAATGCACGTTGGTGACACGCTTCATCATCATCTATGTCGACCTTCGGCAGCCCCGTCGCCGCGAACAATGGCGCTTCGCTCACGAGCCAACGCGCGAACCTGTCCCGCGCGCACGCGCTCGGTGAGACGCGCGAGTAAATGTCTGAGATGATGCTCTCGAAATCCACGCCGCGCACCGTCTCATTGTTCATGGTCTTGGCGCACAATTCGGCATTAAACACCTCCAAGCTGACGACCGGTGCTCCTCCGAGTCCGTCCCCGGCGGCGCGTGTGACGTATTTCAACGCGAGCGTCGTCGCCGCCGCGACACCACCAGCGGTATCTTTGGGCGCGTCGTTCTCCACCGGCGCATCCAATCCGACTCCGCTCGCCGCCTTCGGCGCCGCCTCGTCTCGCCTCGCGGCGTTCGTGACGTCGCCGAGAGCGACGCGTGTCGCCTCCGCCGCGAACGCGACGCGCGCGTTCGCCGCATCCGACTCGGCGTCCGCCTCGGCTTTGGCTTTAGCTTTGGCATCCGCGCCACCGCGACCCCCGACTGGCCAACCAACACGTGCGTTAGCAGCAGATGACGCTTCCACGAATGCCTCACGGTTTCGCTTCCTCCACCCCGCGAATGCGTAGCCGTATCGAACGCGGTATCCCCGCGGCATTGCTCCCGTCCTGCGCGTCCACGGCGGACAGTTAGTTATTAATCCGCCATCGGCGCGCATCGAACGAACGCGTCACCGTCGTCGACGCCGTCGCCCGCGCGCGCGCACCGCGACGTGAAACAAATCGACGCATCCTTGCGCGCGCGCCCGTCGTCATCGCGCGCTCGCGCGCTCCCCGGCGGCGCGATGCACGCGCCGCCGGGGAACAGCGCGCGCGCGATGCGATCTCGACCGATCGCCCCCTCTCCGCGCCGGGACTCG